CCTCGCAGCCTGCCCTCGGTGCATATCGCTTTTCGTCCGAACACTCCAAGTACTGAACTGACAACGACCATCGGCAAAGTCTTCAAAGTCCATCGAGCCAGTGCCTGCCTTAATTATCAAGCAGTTATAGAGGAAGGAGACAGTGCATGGATAGTTTCGGATATTAAGAATGTTTAGTTTTAGCTATTGTTCAACCAGACGGATATGTTTTATGGACGTCTCTCTTTATCTTCTTTATATTGCTGACGGTATTCTCGTTTCGCGCTATATCTTTATTCCTTCCTCATATAATTCCTTCATTTTCACCCCGATCCGTTCTTTCTTTCGATTCTTCTCCTCATTCTTCTCTCTTTGTCATCAATTTTCCTCCCTTATTTCTCTCCTACATCCTCCTTTATGATCCAATGGAAGGATTTCTTCTTAAATTATTTTCTCACGCCTCATTATCCTTCAAGTGGAAGGATTTCCCCCTATTTCTCACCCTACAACCCCCATTTATCTATCGAGTTGAAGGATTTTCCCATTATCTTTCTCGTTTCGTCTGGTACTCGTCGTCGCTCTTCTCTGCCGTGTCGTTGTTTCTGCTCTCTGTCTCCGCGGCGGCGGGTGGTGATGGTGATTATGATGGTTTGTGCAGACATCCGCCGACACAGCAATAAGCAACACTGCGCGCCGCCCTTCGTGTAGCGTCAGGAGCCGCAATTACCAGCGACATAACATGGCAGCACACCGAGCAACATCGGTGTAGCAACATGGCTCATAAACACAACATGCGCAACGTGGCATGGGCAAATCGCAGTGTAGTACAACGAGAGCAATTAATAGATCATAATAACGCAATATTGCGCATACGTAGCACGAACACGCGGACAACATAGATTAATTAACAGTCCATAATAGTGCAACATGCGTTGTATATCACAACATAGCGAATTAAACATATAACACAAAATACACAAAATAGCGCACAACAGAAACAACATAGCAGAAACATAGCAACATACCACTACATAACAACATAAAACATAGCAGCACATAAACAAACATAGCACAACATAGCACAAATGCACAACATAGCACAACATAGACAACCACAGCACTCCATAGCACAACATAGCACAACATAGCCACAACATCCCACTCCATAGCACAACATAGCACACATAGCACAACATAGCACAAAATAGCACAAATATACAAATAGCACAACATAGCACAAAATAGCACAACATAACACACAATCAAACAATAGCACAAACATAGCACAACATAGAGCACACCCAGTTTATGTGCTTGTGATAACGTATATCTACACCATGCACGCACACGGACACACAAGCATGCGCGCACGCGCGCTACACACACACAGACACACACACACACACACACACACGCACACGCACACGCACAACACACACACGCACACACACTCACACTGACACACACACACGCACACGCACACAGCACACACGCACAGCACCACTCCACACTCACACACGCACACGCACACGCACCGCACACGACAACGCCGCACACGCACACGCACATACCCACACACATAAAACACCATCTACATACCTCTCACCCGGATCGGCTTCTTTTACCATCGCGTGATCTCCTGCATGCCATCGTGAGGCCCATCTCCTGAGCACGAGTCCAGATCCTTGGTCGCTATCATTCGCTGCCTCACGGTATACTTGGTGAACGCGCGCTGGTACTCTATAACAAACGCGAACAGTATAATAATAACTAGAAGGAATACAAGAACAAGAAGAAGATGAGGAGGAAGATAAAGAGAGAGAGAAGAAGAAGAAGAAGAAGAAGAAAAGGCAGGCGACGACATATATATGTTAGAGAAAAGAAAGAAGTGTACAAATAGAGTTAGAAGAAGAGAAGAGAGAAGAGAAGACGAGCAAGAATACTAAGAAGACGATGATGAAAAAGAAGATAAAGAACAAAAAGAAAAAAAAGAATAAGAAGAAGACTACGAAGAAGAAGACGAGCAATAATAATAATAAGATGATAAAAAAGAAAACGAAGAAGAAAAAGAAAGAAAGAAGAAGATGGAGAAGCAGACGACGACAAATATGTTGTTAGAGAAAAGCAAGTGTTAACAGGAGGAGAAAAAGAAGAAAGAAGAAGAAGAAGACGACGACGACGAAGAAAAAGAAGAAGAAGAAAATGAAGCAGAAGCAGAATAGTCGTAACGACGTCTTGGTAAACAAAATCACAGAGTGGATCCTTTATAACATGGTCTATATGACTTATAATCCATATTAAACAATTCATAGATGCTGTTCTATCGAAAACGTTCATCATAGTGAATACAACTCGCAACAGTCGTGCGTAAAATAAATAGCAAGCTGTCTAGCACGATATGTTTCGAGTTCTAATCCAGTGATACAGATATTACCATAGCCGTACCATATAGAATGCAGTAGGACGGGGGGACGGGGCGGTAACTGGCCCTTAAATAGCCCTCTCTGTTCGTGTTGCTGTTAGTTTCAAGTCTCGTGTCAAGGGGCCTTGTTTTTTTAAGGCTTCGGTGATAATCAACACTGTTGCAGCGCCGAACTCGAGCAGATGCAGACGAGAGAGAGAGCGAGAGGGGGGAGCGGGAGAGAGAAAGATAGAGAGCGATAGAGGGAGAAAGAGCGTGCAGAGTTGCCAGGCGATGATGTGTATGTCGGTGCATGGCGCGAGATAGCAGACGCCCCCGTCCCGGGGAGAGCCGGTTCATCTCCGCATCCCATTTGCACACTGTTTTGTCATCTTGCTGGTGAAGTATCGAGTTACCTACGTTGATATTCATTTGCGTATGCGTGCCCGTGTGTGTGTCAGTGTGAATGGCGTGCAGCCACCGCGTATATGTGAGCTGCGAAGAACAAGGAAAATAAGGAAAACGCGTGCATCTGCGACACGGTTTAGTTGTGTACATATTATCGTATTTTACTCCTGCTATTATGTACATGTAATAGTGAAGTAATCGCGCATACGTGAGCGTCGAACAAGCGGTGTTTATAAATAATAAATATGTATACTGTTTAGCTTTCGACAGACATATATGATGTCTGTCTGTCAGAATATCTGTCAGCCTTCTACAGACACATTGGTAGACTCATATGATTATAATGATGCTATACTACAAGTCGGTCTACGTTTAAATTAGCATGCAAGTTCACATGAATGTATATGAAATTATTCACGGAAGTATATTAATAATTATATAATCGTTCTTAAATAGATACAATATATTTGACAAGTACGTGCATAATTGTTTTTATGTCTTTTTGTCGATCTACTGCAGAGGAAATTGTTTTAATGCAGACACAGTGCCTACTCTGTAACTGCGTGCCATTGTCTTCTCAAAACACGTGACGTCTGCACAATATTCGATAATAAAATGTCACCAGCGTCGTGAACAATCCCCCCCCCCACGCATTACGTGATTAACCTGCTACATGTGCTGATGCTGGAACGAACCGCGTAGTGCCTTCTAACTACCTGCGAGCCAAACAAATATAACGATAATCATATAATATAATTATATCGGGTGTCATAATATAGAAACTGTGTATTATGACACTCCTGATTACATGATACCGATAATTATATAGAATGTAATTATTATAATAACGTGAAAGGCGCACGCAGTATGGCTGGATCGTCTATGAGTGACGTCACCGGTGATGCCTCGCAGCGCATGCGCGTTGGATGTCGGTGCAGAGTTCTCTGTTGTTGGGACGAATCGTTGCGGGAGTCGTAGCTCTTCCAGGCGTTCGTTGGCCAATGTTATATGTGTGAGTGCCCGCGCACAACGGTTTCAACAGGAGACGATGCTGGGGATGCGGTGGTCGTTTGGCAAATAGATGAGGGATGCGTGCGTGTGCTTGTTTAGCCATTCATCATCTCAAGAAACTCTAAGAAAATTAAAAAATAAGCTAGATTATTATAATAGGTTTTTATATAGACGGGACGAAGAATTTATGGTAGCGCGCGCATACACGCACGCACGCACGCGCGCGCACACACACACACACACACACACACACACACACACACACACACACACACACACACACACACATCACAACATAAATAGAAAGTAGAAGGTAATAACAAGTCTCGTACGCTTCAAAGTCGACAGTGTTGTGCCATCTGGTCGATTCTCTGATCATCATCTAACTAACTCCTCTGTCATCTTTGTCATTGCGACTGCCCGCCAATATCTCGCTTCAGCTCCTTCACGTTGATGTATGCCGTTTGTTACCCAACTCCAGAACAAAGACATGGCCTATGTTAGAGGTCATATACGTAACTCTGCTAAGGCTTGTTGTGCAAAAACCGTCGTGTGTGTGACGTGTGCGTGTGCGTGTGTGGTTGTGTGTGTGCCGTGTGTGCGTGCGTGCGGCGTGCGTGCTGCGTCGTGCGTACTACGTGCGTACGGTGCGCGCGCCGCCAGCGGCGTGTGTGGGTGTGGTGTGTGTGTGTGTGTGTGTTACGTGCGCGCGACGTGGTGTATGATTGTGAAGACATGTTAGGTCTAAAGCCTAGGTTAGACTAGAGTATCTCTCTGCCTGCAGTAACGCGGATAATCATGTCTCCCGGCGAAATGTACGGGGATGTCAATCAGTTGATGATGGATGGCAACGCAGATTCGTCTCCAGACCGGAAGGAAAATTTTGATCATAATCTGATTGCCTCATCCGACCTGGCCTTAACCACGAAAACATACACGCCGCAACACCAGCACGCGTACACCCACACGCGCGCGGCAGAGCAACCAACACACACACACACACAACCACACACACACCACACAACACACACACCACGC